TGCTCCATGTGATCTCCAACACGCACGCACGCTTATAGGTGCGGCGCCTAGTGTCAGGGACATTATAAATAGCCATCATTAGAAAATGTTTATGGGCAACATAGAGATCATCTGGACCCATCTTTTTAATATTCCTCTTTTTTTCCTTGTCGATGACCCTTTAAATGTATCTTAGAGGACTTAAGGGGCTGCCGAGGCATAGTGAGATAGGTCTGTTGGCTAATTAATTGACACTGTTTTGAATATTCATATCTAATATAGCCAGTATGCTCTTAATTACATTGTTGGACTTTTCTCCAAGGAGGCTAAATCACCAAAGACTTAATTAATATAATGTATTCCAGAACTGGCTGGCTCAAAAGGAAGACAGTTGCTGTCAAGAGTTGCACCATGACACCTGGCTGCTGATGAACAGTCTTTTGTTATTACTCTTTGCAGGAGACCGGGAAAGTTGTTGTTGTTGTTGCTATTAGTAGCAGCGTTATGCTTTCTCCTCTATTTAAAGAGACAGCCAGTGCTGCCGCCAAAGACGGCGGGCGCCGCGTTCGTGGCTCATCCGCCCCTCGCGTCCGTGGCGGAGCGGGGCTGCCGGCAGCTCGGGCGGTGAGCGCGTAGGTGTTGCGGGCCCTGCTCCCCGCGTTCTCTCCGCTCTCCCCCGGTGCCGGGACCCGAGCCCGGACAGCCGGCGGCGCGGGGGGCAGGCGGAACCTCCGCGGGCCGGGGGCCGCCGAGGCGCTGGGGCGGGACCGCGGCCTTGCCACCGACCGGCTCCGGCGTCCTGCTCACGGTCGACTGACACATTTGCAACCGAGGGGGCAGCCCGACGTTTTCCTTCGCCTTTTAGAGCAGGTGGCCTTATGAGCAGCAGCCGCGTCTCCCCGCCTTGCCCGCCGCAGGCTTTTGAAGGAGGTCCCGGTCGTCCCGTTTCCAACTTAGGTTACTGCTGCCAGCAACATCCACACCCCCCAAACTGCCCGTCACTTCCAAGAGTACACCGGCAGCGCTGGCAAAGTAGGTGCAGGGTGCAGGCGCCCTCTGACATCGGCGGGACTCCGCTGAGACAGGACGGGAAAGTGTGGCGTTGGTTTGAGAAATGAGATGTGGATGGGTGCCGATAAGTCTCTTCGAAGAGCTCAACTGATCTCTTTTCTTAAAATAGCAAGCCAAAAAATATGGTTCGGCCCTGCCGTTTTCTTGGTGTGTTTTCTGGCCAAGAGTAGGGATCTGTTCCCGGGAGCAGAGAATGTCCTTATCTTTTGCTGCACCTTCTTTTCATGAAAGGCAGGTGTGATTATTTTGCTGACTTCACTTCGCCTTGAAATTAAAAGTGGTGCCAGGAAGTCGTGGCTAACAGCAGGACTGATTAGCAGGTAAAATGGGCAGAAGAAAATGAAAAAAAATTACCAAAGAGAGAGAAGAAAGAAGATGAGGCACATCTTAGCGCTGGTATTATTTGTCCTAACATATGAATATATTAGTTATTCTAATGCAGGAACAGAGCTAATTCCTCTGCTAAAACTGGTGGACTCCGAGCTAAAGGCTTGCAGGGGGAGGCTGAAGGTGAAGGCTTTTTCCCTGCCCGATGATACCTCTCTCATCAAGGAGAGAGCATATCTTGACTCTACCAATCTGACAGTCCACCAAGTGCTGCTCGGCTCTTTTCCTCAGTGATGCAGCTCTTGATAAACGAAGCTTTTTTTACCCCGTGTCACCAAAGCCCTCTCTAAAGCTAACCAGACAGGTAGCGTCCTAAAGGTAGCGTCCGGCAAAGCAAGCCAAAGAAAGAGGATAGTCACCCTCCTCCGCCATAGCCACGGCCATCTTCCAGGGTTAGAGCTTTGCCCGAGGATTGAAAGCGTCTGGGGAGCGCAACGAAGTAATTTCTCGAGAGCAACAAAACTTTACAGTGACTTTTCTGGTTGAAGGAAAAAAAAAAAAAAAACAACAAAAAAACCTAAGAAACTATGTTGTCTTGTCGGGAGGGTTGCAGACACAACTCGAGTAACCCAGAGTAGCTGCCAGCAGTGCATCATTACTAAAACATTACCTTTTGAAATCCTGAACCGGCCTGGGTGATGTGATGTGTTTGAGTAATTGTCTTAGAGGCTTCAAGGAAAAAAATCTCTCTTTCACAAACATATGGGTGGACCACAGCCTGCGGTGATGTATCCGCATAAATGCACGTACCAATTGGCTACCACTAGCTCGTGCATGCAAGCACTTTTCCGATAGCTCGGGAAGAGCTTCTGTTAAACGTGGGCTTGCTCCAACACCCCTCGTTTACCAGAAGTCCTACCTTGGAGGCCTGCGGGAACGCAGAGGACAGAGGTAGCAGCACCGCAGCTCCAGGTTTCCCGCCGCGGCGCCCGCCGGATGACGGTATCGAGCTCTCCGGTACCCCGGCCGACTCTTTTCCTCCGTTCCCAACCTCCCCCACGCCTTCCTGTGGAAACAGAGAATTACCACTGCCCCCGAAAGCAGCCGCATTTGGGAAGGGATGGGAGAAGATTAAACGCACCTTTCGGGTCTCGCCAGTCTCCAGGGATGGATCCATTCTCCCGTAAAAAATAACATCCGGCTGCAGATGAAGAGGCTAAATGTGAGAACGGGCCAGGCTAAATTCTCACACATGCCCTACGGGGGGGAAATCGCTGGGTTGCTAACTAGTGAGGTGAGGGGAACAATGACTTTAAGGTCCAGGACTATAGGGTAGGAGCAGGGTTTTTAAACGGTTGGGACAGGATTAAGTGGTAAAACAAGAATAAAATGTTTTTGGGGAAAATGTATGGACACTACAGGAAAGATGTTGAAATGTCTGGTCTCACCAAGCAGGCAATACCGGAATTAGCTTCCCAAGATTGCACGATAGTAATGTTGCTGCCACCGTGCCTCCTAGTTTCTCAGAGGAAGGTGAATGCTTTAGACAATCATCTGAAAGTTTTTCTAAAACCACGCGCTTTGTGGGGAAGCTTGGCTTGGTAGAATTGTGGCCTTTTCCCGCTTCTTTACCTTTGATTATGTTTTTCACTTGACTGACCTTGATCAGGTATAAAAACTGTTAAATACACATTACTTGAGAGTGGGTTTAAAATAAGTCTTTTCCTTCGCTACTCCAAAGAGATTATAAGCACACATTTAAAAGCTTCTTTCTTCCCCCGCCCTTCCTCTTTACCACTTCTACCTGCAACGGCTGAATCGGAGGTAGACAAACAAGTTTGATGTCCAAACCAACTCCTCGGATGGCAGGCAGAAGTGGAGCGCGGAGGGCACCGCCGGCTGGGTTCTGCCCCAGCGCTGCTGCAGCCGCCATCCCCTCGTGGTACACACCCTCGTGGGGTCTGACCCAGAGCAACAGTCTGGAAGGATGGGATCAAAAAAAGCTCTTCCATACATAGCTTTATCTATAGTAAGGCTCTTTCAACCTATTTATTAATTTAGGCCGTAGAAGTCGGACTAATAATTTTTATGCTGGCACCTCTTGTAGCATCTCGCTAATTGTGCTCCGAGGTGCTGATGTGGAGCAGTGTTCCGGCTCTAGCGGCAGCCAAGCAAGCAATCTTCCCTTTTTCTCGCTCAAATCTATAGACTACTCGCTATAATGCAGTGCGTTTGGAAGATAGATATGTATTGTCGTACTGTTCATTGATTCCTACTAATGAGCCGGTCTAAACTAACACTGGCGCTAAGTCTCTAAGCGTACAGATGATGCTTCGTCTGGTTCTTTACGTGTTTTCTATGAGCCACATCGTGGTGAGTAGCAAGAATTGACAGTAACGATTTGGAGAGGAGGGCGTAGGATTTCTTGCCTCTTGGTTTTGTGCTAGTCTTTGCGTAGATTCTTAAACATAATGATAGGAATGATAAAAAATTATCCCAAAGGGCCTGTATTTCCCGCTTGCTGCCTCGCGGGGCTAGATCGAGGGCCATTTCTCCAGGGTGCTTGATGCGACTCGCCATGGGGACGAGGAAACACCTCTTTCTGGTTTCCATCTCCCTGTGGTTCGGTCCCCTCGGTCGGCCTTCGCGCCTACTGCTATTAGCCGGGCTGCGCGGGAGCGAGGGGTCAAGAAAGAGGAGAATGGATAGTGGGGCTATGAAAGGGGTGGAGGGAAGCTGGAGTGGGAGAGGTGGGAGGAGGAATCTTTCCTGCTCCCTGACACTGCTTCCTGCCCTATGGAAAACGGATCTCGGTCTCATACGGAGTTTCCTCAGCCCCCTGGCTCCACCTCACCGTGATAAGGAGATGTGAGTGAGAGGCGAGTCGGGAGCCGTTTCTCGCTCCTTCTCCATGAGACGCTAAGTCCCCAAGCGGCTGTCATGTGATAGCAAGAGAGCAGGACTGCGGGGGTCTCGCGACTCGGGCACCATTACAAAACCGCGCCGGAGCGCACAAGCCCCACCAGCAGCCACGGCGGTCGCGCCCCTCTCGCCTCCTCTCCCCGCCAACTACCGGCACTCGCCTCTGCCGCAAACTTTTAAGGGGACACCAGACTGAGCGGTGAGAGGGATGTTTTTACTTCCTTCTTTCCCGTCTCTGCAGACGTCCGAGGTAATTTCTTGCTCTCGAGCCCTTGGCGCCTGAGGAGCATCAACTCTAGCTGAGTGTGCCAGGCGGCAGGGGGGAAGCCCGGGAAATTCAGCAGCCTCCAGGAGAGAAAGGGACGCCAGCCAGCGGGGGCCAGGACCTCCTTCTGGCACGTAGCCCCCGAGCCCCCGCGGCCTGGGCGGCAGCTGTCTCTCCCGCAAGCTGAGGGGCAGCTAGGCAAGTGCGTCCCGCGGGGAGAGGCTGCTGTAGGAAGCCGTGCACGGAGCTCGCTGGCCGGTCGCCGGGAGGTCGCTGTCGCGTGTGGCCTGGGCAGGTGGCGCCCAGGATGTAGAGGCGGCGGTGGGGCAGGGCAGTGAAGTCCCCGGATCCCAAGCCCGCTGTGCACGGCGCTGAGCGGTGACTAGCCCGGAGCGGCGGGATCGTGCGGCCGCGGGAGTGCTGTGGTGGGGAGGCGATGCCCAGGCCGGGAAAGAGTTCGTACAGCGACCAGAAGCCCCCCTACTCTTACATCTCCCTGACGGCTATGGCCATCCAGCACTCGGCCGAGAAGATGCTGCCCCTGAGCGACATCTACAAGTTCATTATGGAGCGGTTCCCTTACTACCGGGAGCACACCCAGCGTTGGCAGAACTCCCTCCGCCACAACCTCTCTTTCAATGACTGCTTCATCAAGATCCCGAGGCGACCCGACCAGCCGGGTAAAGGCAGCTTCTGGGCATTGCACCCGGACTGCGGGGACATGTTTGAGAACGGCAGCTTTCTCCGTCGCCGCAAGCGCTTCAAGGTGCTGCGCCCTGAACACCACCTGCCCGGCGGCGGCGGCGGCGGGGCGGGCGGCGGCGGTCCCGGCAAGCCCCCGGCGCCTACCCCGCACATGGTGCACTACTTCCATCCGCACCCGCCACCGCCGCCCCCCCCGGGCAAGGTGTCTGGGCTGGCGGGCTCCGACGCGGCCGTGGCTGCGGCCGCGGCCGCCGCCGCGGTGGGAAGGTTGCCGCAGTTCTCGCCCTATGGGAGCAGCCAGCCCTCGGGTTTCAAGCATCCCTTCGCCATCGAGAACATCATCGGCAGAGATTACAAGGGCGTGCTTCAGACCGGCGGGCTTCCCCTGGCCTCGGTCATGCACCACCTGGGCTACCCGGTGCCCAGCCAGCTCAGCAGCATGGTGAGCTCCGTGTGGCCTCACGTGGGGGTGATGGACTCCGTGGCCGGCGTGCCCGTGTCTCCCGACTACGCACCCTTCGGCATGCCTGTGAAGGCGCTCTGCCACCCGCCGGCACAGACCATGCCCGCCGTCCCGGTACCCATCAAGCCGGCGCCGGCGTTGCCTGCTGCTTCGGCCATCCCTGCTCTGACGGTCGCCGCCTCGCAGATCTGCCCCGCCGCTTCCCCGGCTGCTGCATCGCTGCTGGAACAGACTGCGAGCAACAACCCCGAGGGCAAGAGCTCCCTCCATTCCGTCCTGGTGCACTCCTAAAGAGCAGGGGCTCGGGGGGGAAAGAAGCCCCCAGGCTCCCGGGGGAGTGGAAGGGGGGGATCTAGGGCATGCTTGCAGAAACCCGATCGATCTCATGACTATACCCCTGCTGGTGTCTGTGTTTATATCGTGTACTATCAGATTATTTGAGAGCCAGGTCGCAGGTAAGATCTTCTATCGATTAATGTCATTAGTGGCGGAGAGGCGATGTGAAAAATCACAGCCGGGGCTGAAGGGGCTGGCTCGGAGAAAAGGGCCGAGAGCGAAGTTCTCCCCGCTACCCCGCCAGCCTGAGGCACAGGTCGGCCATGCAGCTTGCGCTCCCCACCGAGCCCCTATCTCGGGGCAGTCACCCCGGAGGCCCCACGAAACCCGAGCTCCGAGAAGGAGAGGTGCTGCAGTCAGCGGGCGAATAGGGAGGGCAAAAGGATAAAACCACTGCTGAAGTCTGCTTCTCCCTCTTCCACAAGAGACAGGAAACCGCTGCTCCACCATCCTGTAAATCTTGCTGTGAAAGGTGTGGACAAAGTGTTTACCTTAGACTCCGGAGAGCTCCGGGGCCCCATGACAGGTAATGCTTGCTGCTTAAAGAGTAAACGTTAAATATTTCGATTAAGTAGTGGGAATTTAAGTGACAACGGCGCTGACGGGGAAGGGTTCCTTTAACTAACGATCGCTTGCGCTTCCCCTTCACCCTTTTATAATCCATCCTATAGTACCTTAGAAGGGACTGAAGCGTGACCTGGCCTCTCAGACTCTGTGTGAGTGTCTGAATCCCTAGTTTATCATTAAAATAAAAACAGCCTGGCGATTCGTAGATTGTGCTTTTCACATCACCTTTCACTGCTCACAGACACCACTACTTTGTACGTGTTGCTTGGCGTTTCTTCACGCAAAAACCTGCGGGGGAAGGGGGAGGGTGGAGGGTGAAAGTGGTAGGGGAAAGTGGGGGAAGAAAACAGGAAAATGGTTTAAAAGTTATTCGGGAAAAGCACTTTTCTGAAAACAACCTTCCAATAGACGAGAAGTCTTGCAGAGGTATCAGAAGTCAGAGATCAGAAGTCAGAGAGCGACGTGCTGGGCTGATGATTCCCGACCGGTTTGTGAGTGATTACTGCCGTACCCTGTCTGCCCTGCTGTACACCAATGCTCATTAAAGCAGATCCATCCATTTGCTTCTGCTGGTGCTGCTATTTAAAATACTCGCCTTTCACACTGGTTAAGAAACGTGCGCTTGTAGCGTAAGTCTTCGCTCCCTCTCCCCAAACTGATTAAAGTATCCAGAAGTTTTCTTGGCGGCACGATAAGGGGAAGAAAAGGAAAGAAGTCTCTTATAGGTAAATTGCCTGCTATAGAGGCACGGCGGTCTCTGCCCGCAGCTCACGGGAGAAGAGCCGGCGGTCGGGTGTGAGAAGAGGGAACCGGCTCAGAACTCGATTCCACTGAAGACAGTAGTAGTTCTGCCAGTTTCAACTTGTGCTGGATCGCACCTGCTTCCTCGGTTTTATCCCCTCATGCCGGCGCAACTACAGTGGCCCGAGACGCGAGGTCGCAGTCCCCGCTCCTGGGGGACAGCCGGTCCTGTGACAGGCTGACCCTTCTTGGTGCCAGAGAAATTTGCTACGAAAAGCAAACCTGTTTGGCCCTCAGCACCGTCTGTCCAAAATTTTCCCCCCAAACACTTGTGCGGTCTGTTCGACCACTTGAAATTTCTCTGGAACTGTTTTGAATTTCCAGTTTTTCCCTGTGTTCTAGGCGTGTTTGCACCTTAATTTCAAAAATTATAGAATTCCTAGCGCCTAAAAATTACTACTGATGATGTTATGTTAATGAAACGCACATTGGTATCATGGTTTGTGAATCGGTCTGGAAGAGGAATTGCGGCTAAAGTATTGTAATGAGATAAATTGAGACCAAAGAAATTTAATTAAAAAACAAACAAACAAAAAAGACAAAGAAAAGAAAAAAGGAAATGAAAGGAAATGAAAGGAAGGGAAAGGAAGGGAAGGGAAGGGAAAGGAAAGGAAAGGAAAGGAAAGGAAAGGAAAGGAAAGGAAAGGAAAGGAAAGGAAGGAAAGGAAAGGAAAGGAAAGGAAAGGAAAGGAAAGGAAAGGAAAGGAAAGGAAAGGAAAGGAAAGGAAAGGAAAGGAAAGGAAAGGAAAGGAAAGGAAAGGAAAGGAAAGGAAAGGAAAGGAAAGGAAAGGAAAGGAAAGGAAAGGAAAGGAAAGGAAAGGAAAGGAAAGGAAAGGAAAGGAAAGGAAAGGAAAGGAAAGGAAAGGAAAGGAAAGGAAAGGAAAGGAAAGGAAAGGAAAGGAAAGGAAAGGAAAGGAAAGGAAAGGAAAGGAAAGGAAAGGAAAGGAAAGGAAAGGAAAGGAAAGGAAAGGAAAGGAAAGGAAAGGAAAGGAAAGGAAAGGAAAGGAAAGGAAAGGAAAGGAAAGGAAAGGAAAGGAAAGGAAAGGAAAGGAAAGGAAAGGAAAGGAAAGGAAAGGAAAGGAAAGGAAAGGAAAGGAAAGGAAAGGAAAGGAAAGGAAAGGAAAGGAAAGGAAAGGAAAGGAAAGGAAAGGAAAGGAGAGAAAAAAGTGCTTCACATTTTCTTTACTCTGCTGTTTTCCATCTTAGGCAGAAATCTAATTAGATATTCCCACTGCTAAAACCAGGTTGCTTACAAAAAAAAAGCAGTCTGCCAAATAAATAATGAATAGCACTAGTTGTATATTAGTTCTATATGTATTTAAATATATTCCACTACTCTTGATATAACTACTGTGTAAGACTCCAAAATACATCTTAAGGAACCTTAAGAGTTTACCCCTTTACGTCAGACAAAGGTGTTAGAGGGATGGAGAATTTGGAACGGGGGGAGAGGTAATCCTCCTGGGAATTATTCAACAATTCTCGTCAGTTTTAAGATTCTGAATAACCTTCTAAATTTCATTGTGGGAAAACTTTTATTCAATGTGAGGAGGCCTGTCTGGGTGCCGCGGCGAGGTGTAAGCAGGAGGCTCCCGCTGCTTTTTGCACCCGGGCAGTCGGGGCAGGTGCATCGAAAACAGAGGCAGGGCGCCCGGCGCAGGGGGCTATCATGATGGGGGGAAATCTCTGATCGGAGGTGAGACAGGCCTGAGGGCCAGGCCCTCACCCATCACCAGCGGGACACGCCGGGACAGTGGTGTACACGGGGATTTGTGGGGTATCCAGAGAATTGCGGGGTGCAGAGCAAACTGCGCACATGGTGCTGTGTAAAGCAGGTTTTGCCCACCACAGGGGCTTTAGAGAGCAGGGAGTTTTGGCCAAGGGCCACTCACCCAATCGGCTTAGTGTGACTCCCAGTGCAGTGGCCTACACTTTGTATGAACTAAAGATGGGGATATTTTCTGTAGCTTGTACAGTGAAAAATTTAGAGGGTTAGAATCTGCTAATTCCAGATTATCAGAGGGGGAGGGAAAATTAACTATTCAAATAATATTTTCTAACTCATTTAGACATCTGGTATTCCTTATTTTTAAGTACTTCATCTCTAAATGTAGCCTTTGCAAAGTTACATAAATTTGTACCAACAACCAATAATCCCAATGCATAAATAAACTCAATTCCAATGCTGCTTAGAATCAGATGATAGTACAAAAAGTAGAGAAATAAAACACTATCCTTTCTTCCAAGCTGAAAAGCAAGTATAAACTGGTGAAGGGTAAGATTTTTCACTTGAAAAATAAAATAGAGCCTTTGACAGCCTTTTTTGCCTAGATTTTATCTGTCTGCTATACCAGCACACCTCATGCAGAAACAGTTTGTCTTCAGATTAAAGTGCACATGTTTGGCACAGAAGGGCACCCACTTTACTGAGTGGGGGCAGGTGGGGTGTTCGTAAGCAGAAGAAACAGATGCAGGAGGACAAGCAAGTTTAATCTTCATATTGTCAGACTGCCAGAGGTAGAAAAGTAAACTTACGAATAGAAGAATGGAGGCCTAGTAAAAGGCATTAATTGTACCTCAGTATGCTTCTGGTTTATTGTGGCTAACTAATATAATGATTGCTATTTCTATCCATGGGAAACTATTCCCAACCAAGGTGTTGCTTTATGTACTTTAAGTCCATAGGTCATACAAATCAAGCAAGAAAGGCAAATACAGCAAGACTCTTAAAATTAATGTGGCTTATGGTCTAAACATGTAGCAGTGTTTCAGTAGATATGTTCTGATCTCAGTGATACCTACTACACTTTGACAACCAGAGTTATAACTGAAATTCTGGACTCATTGATCCAATTCTGAAGTCTCTCTGAACAAAAATTGATACAGAAAATCTGCTTGGAACTTTGCTGCTGCTGCTTGTGGTAACAGATTTCTCTCTTTATTATAAGACTTTATTTTAAATCATTATCCTTCAAGTCTGATTTAAGATAGAGCCTTCCCTGTAAGTGCTGGAAATATGTAATAATTTCAGATTTGAGAACTAAAATTTCACCTCAGTTTCAGGAGTTTTGCCAAATATATTATTAGATTAGCCATCTTTAGTTAGACAAACCAGGTTTAATTTTAGACATCTAATGATAAAGAGAAAAAATTACAGCCTA